GAAACTGTACAAGCTACAAGTTGATGCCACTGCTTGTTAAAACCTACAACCCACTTAGATTTAGACATCTGAGACATGAGAGAAATGGAGTGCTTGCCCTTCAAAATGTGTTAGAAACTCCCAAAAAATGAAGATACACTACTAGTTCTCCCATTCTGTGTACATTCTGATGCTCACTATAGGATACCAATTTCTTTTTCTTAGGTAAGTACAGTTTCTTTCAGCATCCAGGATAAGCAGTTAGTCTTTATTTTATTCTATACTGATTGAATACTGACACTTTCATCTACACATAAAAATTATCTTCAGTAAACTAGACTCTGGAAATCTTTATTTGACACTCAACTAGACAGAAACTACCAAGTACTGTCCAAAACCTGCCTCATTTCACAAGAAACTTTGTTAATTGCAGGGATGAAATCTGCTTTGCTAAGGTAACACCCAGCTGTCTAACCCACAAGGCAATTCCTTCTCCTGACATCTCCTGCCTCACTCTTTCATTCAAAAAGAGGGACTCAGGACCAGCAATGCCAAGCAGTTCCAGAGCTGTGTCATAGCTCTGTCCTGCCACAAAAAGGTGGCAAATCAAATGTGTGGACTTTCAAAAATATCCCAATGTTCCCTGGAGGGGAACATACCAGGCAATGTGACTGCAGGCAGGGATAAGTGCATGAACACTCCATGTGCCAGGCAGTAAGTTATAAGCAGTAAGTTACACATTATCCTGTTACATGCAGGATAAAGCATTTCAGTAATTATGTTTTCCAGTTTATTGTCAGCAATTTTCCCAGTCACACTCAGGATGTTAGTTGTTGTTTTCACTATACAATATTCTGTGTTTATTGACACTGAAGCACAGCTAACATCTGATTGCTCAACTGTTCAACACATCAAATCCTTTGGCAATAGCATCAAATAAAAGCAGCAATTGTAAGCTATTTATACACTTTACAGTCATTTCTGTATATACTGAACAAACAGCTTTACTTAATCCTACCTTTCCCTTTCATGTCTTCAAGTGAGCTGCTAACCAGCCAACAGAATTTCCCTGACTCCTCCACAGGAGTTTTGAGATTGCCTTTATCAGATGATCCCATCACAGTAGCTGAATTGAATTTCTAGGTGATAGATGGTGCTAGCCTTTTACTCTGGATGACAGTCCACACACATGAAGAAAATAAGGAATTTGAAAAATTACAGGGATTTCTATGGTTTCAGCATGAGCACTGTGGCCAAATTTACAAAACTGAGCTTGAAGAAAAATTACCAGGCATAGGAAAAAACCAAACAAAAACCCACATAAAACCAAAATTAAACTAAGCCCTGTCCTCCGAGGTTTAAAACATAATTTCCAAGAAAGCATAAAAAGAACTAAACATATTCTCATGGACTGTGCAAAGTTTGGTGACTAAAATGCATTATTTTCCTTGCCTCTCACAGCTTGACTTGAAAGGACTGGAACTTTCACTCATGCTCTCCATATATGAATGATGGGGTATGTTAGTTCAAAACTACTGGCCCTGCAGAGATCATATTCAAGAGCATCACTGTTGTGTCCTCCCCACCTTCCAGAGATGCCCAAGGAGATGCCTAATGACAGCAGGCAGCGAGAACTCCTCAAATCAGTGTCAAGAAGAGGATGAAGTGACCACATAGAATAGGCAAAAATATGTATTAACCAAAAAAATTCAAAACCATCATATTATCTAACGTATTCCAGACTAGCAGGGTCATCTGGAAGGCCATACCCACAGATCCCACACCTCCATATGTCAGAATGGAAGAGCTTCTCTTCCACATGTCACATGCAAATACACATTTCTCCAACTCAAAGGAAGAGCAAACCTGAAAAAGGTCTTCTCAGTCAATGAACTCAAATAAGACAGAACTTAGATCTATCTAATTTTCTTGGGACAAGAAGCCAATAATGATGTAACACCTCCAAACTCAAACCAAGGAACTTTTTATTTCACTTCAGAATTAGAATGACCTTGTTGAAGCACAATTTAGCAACAAGAGATGTCCACATTTAACCTAGAATTTTCCCCAATGTTCACTTCTCAGACTCCTGAGCTTTGAACCCTATGGAAAGAGGCTGTGTGTCCTTACATGCACAAGATATATATTGCAATACAAAATAAACAGGGCTCTTGATGCAAAGAAATATGGTCAAAACCACCATCTCAGGCTTCCACAAAGCTCAGACAGAACTGAAGTTATATCATTCTAAGCAACCTTTATAGATCATAAGAATAATGCTAAACTCTGTTATGTCCTAGCAATGAAGGATATGCTCAGACTGTACCACACTGGTAAAGGTTGAGACACAGATATTTGAAGACAGAGTACAACAATACAAAAACAAATAAATGGTTATATCAAGCTAGCGTTCAGAAATTTTCAAATTAAAACAAATTACAGGTCATATATGCTCATTTCCGATAGAAAAGGCAATGAAGTGCAATGAAACTTCTCTCAGTCCACTGAAAATCAAGCTCACTATCAAGTGGAAATGAGGAAACTTAAAACTCCAAACAAAACCTGCCCTTCCACTCCTGTGAGATTTCTCTCCCATAACACCAAGTTGGTTGAAAACAGATATCAAAGATCCATTCTGATTATATTCAAAGTACTATTATTCCCTTAAATTCACCTGTTGGGCTTTTTCTCTTTTTGGTGAGCTCCTCAAAAACAATAAACACGGTTTAGTTTTCTAAAGATGTTTTAGCTGATAAAACAGCACAAGGTTGCCTTGAACTAATCATCAGAGAACTTATTTATTAAATATTTAATTTTTTCTTATATTTACTTGAAAATCAAGATAACACATTAAAAGGTATTCAACAAAATCACCTTTTCTCAGTAGGCAGGGATGCCCATTATTTTAGTAAATCCACTGATTAAGAATTTTTTTCACTGAAGATAAGTGAAGACCTGCTGGGTGTCACAAGGGTCACTGCCTTTTTTTCTGTCACTGAATGCATCTGAATGTTACTGAATTGGTTAACAGGTTGTGACACCAGACAATGCAAACACAGAGGAATGCAAACTTAGTATATTGTGATTGCAGAAAGTGTTAATTTACTTGCTTGTATGAGTTTGTGCTTTCATAATCAGACTGGCAAGTGCAATTCTGAAAAAAAAAAAAACAACCTGGAATTTCTACTGCTAATTTATCCAAGCTCACAAGGGTCACTGCCTTTTTTTCTGTCACTGAATGCATCTGAATGTTACTGAATTGGTTAACAGGTTGTGACACCAGACAATGCAAACACAGAGGAATGCAAACTTAGTATATTGTGATTGCAGAAAGTGTTAATTTACTTGCTTGTATGAGTTTGTGCTTTCATAATTAGACTGGCAAGTGCAACTCTGAAAAAAAAAATTTACTTTCTGCTGCTAATTTATCCAAGTAGATGTGAAACACTCTCAAATGTTGGTCATAAACATAAATTCAGGCTAGAGACGAGGAAAGGGATGACGTATCAAGACAAAACTTAAGTGGTAGAATTAAAAAGTTGAAAGAAGAAAAAGTTTTCTTGAAGTACTTTCTTAAGTACTTCAAGAAAAGCAGGTGGCAGGAAAGTTAAGGCAGTTTCCAGGACCACCACATTTTGTTCCCTTCAGCTGCTGAAGCAGGGACCTGCTCTCACACAGTGAACAGAGTGACTGAGGAGCATCTCCCAGAGAAGCAGGCAGAGCACTCAGCAGTGAGCAGAGCTCTCAGTAAGAGATGACAGCTCTGGTATTTCCTCATTATGTCATCTCTTTCCCACCCTCCCTCTTTTGGACCAGGACTGGCTTTCATGTGGTTCACAAAGCCTGCTTGCTCTCAGGGCCTGGAGATCTTAATCAAATACAAGTCATAAACCAACACTACTGCAGCTAGTGCAACCACCCAAATGGTACTCAGCAAACAGGCTGAAGGAAAGATGGTGTTTTGCTAAAAAGCAGCTGAAAATTTCACTTGAAAATAATATAGCCTAAAATACAACGTCTTTCAAAGTTTTAACAAGTAAGAGAAACAAAGCAGCTCAGAGGAAACATCTCAGTGAGAAAAGCAAACAATCCAGATTTTTCCAGGACATTAAAAGGTATTTCTCAGAAACCTGGACTTCCACCAGTGTAGTGGCCTTGAAACTTACCTTGGAAAACCATCTTTTACAACAGCCTCTGGCTTGCGGATGTCTAATAAATCTGAAACTCACATCTCATTCTAACTGCCAGAAGATGAAAGCACCTTTTGAGCAATCACTTAATACAGGTAATTTATCACAATATGCTTGGAGGTACCTTGGAATGTTACCTTAATAAAGAGATGGTGTAGCACACTCAGATATATTATGGTTGTGACACAATCTGAATGTTCTTTCTTCAGACTTCTAAGCAAGAGAACATATGGAGCATTTGTCTGATGAGATTTAGAGATTTATCTGAATAGCAGACATTACTTATAAGAACAAATACTGGATGAATCAAGGAGCATGTATATGGAGTATATATTTAATCTTTAGTATGCCAGATTAAAACTATAAAAGTCAATTGGAAACAAGCATCCATGGGATGCTTAGTTAGAGAGCCTGCAAAATGAGTTGGTTAGTCCAGTTCTTTCAGAAACTGCTGCTGTAATTTATGTCAGTGCTGGGGAAAGGGCAAAACATGATTAAAAACAAAGGTACACAAAAACTAGAAGGTTAAGGCAAAAAAAGTATTAAAAAGTGTTAAAAAGTATTATAAAAGTAATCTTCTGACAAAAACAGACTGTTAATCTTTACAAGCTAATACAGTGATACTGTAACTCCCTAGTTTGTGAGTGACTGTAGAAAAAGGAAAACATCCTTTTTCCAAGTTTGACCACATCCTGCTTTCCCTATCAGCTGAAATACCTGCAACAGATAAGCACTTTCTTATTAAATGCTGCATTTGACACTAGGAAAGATACTAATTTCTCTTAATCTCTGTGACCTTCAGTAAAAATGAAGACCTGTGAGAGCTCCTACCTGAGGCCGCATCCTGGGGTTCCACCTGATGTAGTAGTTCACCCACAGCTCCAAATGGTTCAGACTGGCAACAGGATACAGGACATGGTTTTCATAGTTTACATAGAAGGGATTTGTGAATTCCTCTAACTGGCTGTTTATATAGGACCACAGAGATACAGTCTTTGTGCTCACCTCCTGATTGAAAAAAGTTAAAATAAAGAATTAATGACATGGATTGCACAATTTTAAAATATGATGTTAATATCTACATATCAGTAATTCTGTCAGAATTTTACCTTATCTACTAGAAAATTACAGGCAGTCTGAGAACACTTCCAGTTGCTGATCATTGAACAGCCTTAAAACTTTAACAAAACATCTGAACACTTATTTTGGTTGAAGACTAATAGAGAAAGATTTAGACATATCTTCAGAGACACTAAAGGCTAGCTGCTCATAATTTACAGCAATATATACAGCTACTTAAATACATGCTTACACACTGACCAACTAAACTAAAAAGATTAGCTTTAACAAGAATATCAGTGAAGAGACAGGATATTTGGAAGATCCAAAACAGTGTCTGTGAAAAATAATTTTTCAATCTTCCCACTCATACTATTTCCTACTAACAAATAATTGATATTATGCTTTAAATTGACTACTTGTACCTTCTGAAAGCTGTATTATTCTAAATTTAATCAGCATAATAATGGTTAGATCAAAGATTGGAAATCTGAACTTACATCAGATTCATCTTGCAAATTTAAACTCCTTCAGTGTTGTAAGGCATGTGTTTCTACTACCGCTGTGCCTGAAATTGCATTTCTCTATTGACAATTGCATCTGACTATTTATTTATGAAAGAAAGCTGTCTGGAAACCCTGCCTTTGCTGAGAACATGTTATTCAGCTCCATCTTGTGGTATTGACATGCAACTTTTCCCCTACAGAAGCAGTAGAGACAAATTAAAAAAAAAAAAAAAAAAGCAGAACTAAATATAACAAGGAATTGTAACTTGCTCAAAAAAAAAGAGACAGTAAAAAAAACAAAGTTTTCCCCTACAGAAGCAGTAGAGACAAATTTAAAAAAAAAAAAAGAAACAAACAAACAAAAAAAAAAAAGCAGAACTAAATATAACAAGGAATTGTAACTTGCTCAAAAAAAAGAGACAGTAAAAACAACAAAGCCACAAGTAAGCAAAAGTGCACTTGGAATAGCAACAAACTTCTATTTTTTCTTCACAAGCACATAATATTTTATTGAATCCCAACTGCATTCATTTAGATAATTTTAATTTCTGCAGTCCTCAACCACGAGTTCTATCCAGTTATGTCCTATAGTAACCTGCCATGTCATCCACAGGAGATCCTTCTGAAACAGTGAAAGAAATGCTAATATAATTTGATAATTACTATTTTTTAAAATTTTGTGTTTTGGCTAAAAGTACCTGCAAGAGGACTTACTAAACTCTCAACCCCACAGACAGATGATAACTAAAGAAACCTAAGTGCCTAGCAGGGCATTAGTATATATTTCTCATACTATGAAATTTAGTATCTGCATTGTTTTTTAAGACTATGTGACAAATGTATACAAAAACTCAGCTCAGACATTCTTAGGTCATTTTCTAAGCATTTTTAATATAAAAATCAGAAAAACAAAAATGTGCATTATACTAATCATTTACCTCTTTTAATCTCTCTTTTTCACAGTTGCATAAGAAAGTCCCAAAGAGACAACTATAAAGGTGATCCAGAATGGTGATCAAAAATAACTCATTGAATTCAAAGGCTGCAGGAAACTGATATTAAAGAAAAAGGGTAAAATTACTTTCAGCGTTATTTTAAGCAGTGTAGAAGGGAAGAAAATCAGACATAAGAAGTAACAAAATAATCCACGTAAGATTTTTGTCCTATTTAGGGATTATTTGCAGGAAAACTCAGCAATTTCAGTGACTCCCACTTCAATAATTCACTTCACCTATGTACTTCTCTACAAATACTTCTCAGAGCTATACTTTACATTCATTATCCAAGTACACCAGAATACAAACATTAGCTGATATGAAACTGCTCATATAAAGCAATCCATTTTAAGAAGCTCTAACAGTGTTCTGTTCTACCCCAAGCCCTCTTAAACATATGCTTTACATCTCTTATTACAGAACAAGAAAACATTTTGGGGGAAAATAAGAAAGAAAAAATAAGATAATGGCATTTAACAGTTTTATTGCCTATTTCAACATGCAACAAATTGAATAATAAAGACTACTACACATACATTGTGCTTAACATTTAATTAAAACTTCTTTCACTTTCTACTCAAGTAAGTTACTTTTCTCCATTTCACCCTGAGTTTACCATCAGCTATATACAATAAGCCTTTAATCCCTCTTCTTCAGTATGGGAAAGTAAGTCCTGTACATCTGAAATGAAAGAATTCTTATTCCCCTGAGCACTATTAGGTATTTTATTCACAAGCAGAGATTACCTGATATATTCTAAGACAAACAGTCAGAAATCTGAAAATGTTTCTCCTAATCTGTAGAGCTGTAAAAATTCATAAAGGAAGAAATTACTGCAAAATGCATGGGGCTGCTGCCCATTCAGATGGAAAAAGTCCTTCTTCAATCAAATTTTATGGTAAGACTAAAAGTGGCAACTGCTTGATGTGACAAAATAACTTTGTGTCCATTATGACAAGGGCAGCAAATACAGACATGGAATGATAGACATTTAGAAGAATAACAAATTGAGAAGACTTAGGGAAAACTTAAGAGGTAGCATTTCTCTCATTAACAATAAAGAGCATGTAATAAAAGAATAATTTTCAGAACAAATGAAACAAACTTTGTGCATTCCTTCTAGAGAGTACATCTTCACAGAAGTCTAAAAGGCAAAGTTTCAGATTCATAAGGCAGAATTTCCTGCTATGTGGAGAAATCTGAAGTCAATATTTCAGATGTGCAGAAAGCAGAGGACTGTTTTCTGTTTTGTGCCACTGAAGAACACTGAATACCTTGGTGAGTGACTCAAGAGCTACTTAAAATAAAGATGACTCCTATAGTTAGGAGGAATAACAGCAATTGGGACTGCAGGTGAACTAGCTGATCCAGAAATTCCTCTCCAGTGTCAGCTGTGATTTATGAAGGGCAAATGTTTATTCATGTTGAAAGTAAAGAGTTGAATAACGCACAATGGGTGTGCTTGAATTAAACCCAGAAAGTGATAAGTTTTAAACAATGTTTTATAAAAAAGAACACTGATCTAAGACAAACATTGTAAACACATTCTTTTTCCAGGACTTCTCAAGCTAATACATACCACCTTTTCACTGAAAATTTTGAGTAAGGAGATTATCAGCAACATGACACAGAAAATGAATGGGAGCCTTCTTATGACTCTGCTATAGATTGTGCACTGTTCAGCAGCACAGTGTGCTCACACTGGGGCTTCTCTTGCAAATCATGGGTTGTTTTCAACCTCCTCACCATTTGTTTTCATAAGGCATAGAGGAAACCAGGATTATCAAAATCTCTTTTTCAGTCATGTTCATAAGTTAACTACTTTTGAACTTCCTTCTCTCTAGGAAATCATGCCAAAACTTAATTACAAGACAATGATGTTAAAAACACAGCTATTACTTTACGGAAGTATGAACAGAACTTGACAAGCAGGTGTGCTGAACCAAGTCAGGAGAAAATTCACTGGGTCCCAGATCTCAGCTTGCTGTGTCCAACTCAAAGCAGCAATCAGATACAGAGAGCAAAAATAATTTGCAAAGCATCAAAATGATATTTGGAAAAAACTTTGAAGACAAAGTGTCTCCTAAAGGGACTCTCTTTAACTGAAAGCATTTAATGAGCCTTGTCACATCAGGGTTCTGTGTTGTGACAGGTCCATACTAATCAGAAGGAGGCCAACACAGCCACTATTCCAATCCAGTGAAGCATGTTCAAAATTCCATACATCAGTGGTTGCTCTCCAACTAGTTTATTAATAAATGATAGCACTTTAATGAAACCCTATCTTTGGATACAAGAGTTGTACTGTTGGAGCTGATGTATCAAGACTGTAGAGCTTCTATTACTGCTGCTGAAAAATCACTGACCTAAAAATGCCTTTCTCTGTAGTTCCAAGTCTATTAGCGTCTGCTTGAAGATTCAGGTGGAAAAATTCCCTAAATGGAAATTTACTTCTTCTCAAATCCACTAATTATGAGAAAACACATGGGTCATTAAAATCTCCCACTTGTTGCTGTGGGAGTTCTTGGGGGTTTTTGTAAAGTGGCATTTAAAAAAAGAAATGATCTTGTTTAAGTCTGATGATGACAAGTGGCATTTGATTCAGAGACATGCAAAATACACTTGCTTTTTAATCCATGAACTTGTTCTGTACTACAGTAACATTGAAACACTTGGCAGAACAACTGTGCAATGGACAATAATGGTTAACTGAACACTAGACAGAGGAACAGTGCACTGCTGAATCCAGTGAAAAACGCATCTACAGCAACAGCTGACACCCAGTAACAAACAGGATGAAACTTTCTGCTGACTTTCTGCAGACCTTCCTCCTGTGAGAGTTCTGTGCATGAAAGGTCGGAAGTTAAACTGCAGTGCTACATGCAAATTGTACAGTTCTGTTTCATTTTTAACCAGGCATTAGTATTTCATCAGCTCACATGTGGCCTTTCCAGTTTGACATCTGCTACTCAGTATCACTAGAATTTACTAACAGAGGAGGGAAATCACTTCACCATGAGGTTTTTTATTAAAATCTGATGTCAATGTACTTCTCTCAAGTTCTCCGTTATTTTACTTGTGTGTCATGAAGACCATAAACCCAAGGGAAAATATAAGGCTGTCAAGGCCTAAATTTCATGTCTGAAGCTGTCTGGAAATTTGTATCTTAGTGGGAAGTCAGAGATTTTCTCACTGTTTTAAGGTAACTGTTTTAAGAATGTAACTCTTAGACCCCAAAGAGCCTATTTGTTTGCTTTTAGCCCATGCCCAAACCAGAGCCCTCACACCCGGCAGTCATTAACACTCACTTAAGCTTTGGAACATTTCACATACGTTTACCATGAATTCTAAAGCACAAAACGATCACTGTTTCATGAGCAAATTATCTACACAATGATAAAATAGAATCCTGATTTTCAAAACTCTGTATCATGGTAATAACAATCTTCACATCTATTCTCTAAGTGTTCAAGTCAACTGAAAAATTAAAATAAGTGGGCAAGAACTGTTCAAGAATAACTTTTTCTGTTGTTTTTTTTCCTGTGCAACATTAACAATTTTTCAACATCACTGCTGTTTATGAATTTCAGAACAATTTCTGGATCCAGGTTTTGAACAGATGTGGTATTGGAAAATGTTTCATAGATTCCCCCTCTGCCCCCATCCCTTTCTCTTTTTTAAACTAGAGGCAAGTAAACTGTTTATAGCAAGAAATAGGAGGCAGCAAGGGAGATCACAAAAACAGAAGAGGCTGCTCTCAATTAAGGATCTCCCCAGAGGACTTTTGTTCCTACCAGGTGTTTAGAACTGCTCCTCTTTGCTATTGTTATTAGCTTTCCTCTGAAAGAGGGACAGAATTTTTCATTTATTTTCTCCAGCCATACTAAACAGCACATTAATGCTGAAATACAGATACACAGAAAGCCTACAAGACCCTCTGGACAAAGGCCAGTAAAACAGCAGGGAACTTTCATAAAGCACCAAAGATGACTGTTTTGAATACAAGTTTTGGAAGTTATGATGTAAGTTTTAACAACCATGCTTAGAACAAGTAGACTAAGGTAAGAGATCTGGGAATGCCAGGATCATATGGAACTAGACTGTTACCCTCCTCCCTTCAAAACAAATCACATACCATAGAGACTTCAGTATAACAGTTTTACCACAAGAGCATAGACCCATGTTAGGCTTCAAGGAGGTAAAAAAAAGGGAAAGAAGAAAAAAGAAAAGACAGAGGGGAAGGTAAAAAACAGGGGAAGTCAAGCACCAAGAACCTCTAAATCACTTGGACATAAAGCATTCATGTGGACAACCTATTCCAATAACCCCATTAAAGAATGACAATATAAAAGCACAAAAAAAGCTTAGGTTTTTGCTCATGAAGGCACAAATACAGAAAACTAAGAAAAAATTAATTTGATAATTTAACATTTCAGAACAATTGGACATAAAGCATTCATGTGGACAACCTATTCCAATAACCCCATTAAAGAATGACAATATAAAAGCACAAAAAAAAAGCTTAGGTTTTTGTTCATGGAGACACAAACACGGAAAACTAAGACTAAATTAATCTGGTAACATTTGAGAACAGAAACGAGAATCTGAATATTTTGGTATCTTAAGAATCACTAATTTCAGAGATCTCCCCTCATCTAGAGGTAAGAACAGTGATGGAAGTAAGGAAACTTATCAGAAAATAGGCTTGTGTAGTACAAGTGCTGTCCTGTATACATAAGGCTGAAAATGTTCACATTTCAGATCTATATAAAAGAACTCTCTACTACCCTCAGCTCACAATCAGCCCAGATTTTTGCTGTTTCTTAAGGACAATCTAAATCCATACAAACATTTACTCCACCAGTGAACATGCAACACACATAATTTATTTCATCAACAACTTATTTATATAAAAGAACAAAAACGAGAATCTGAATATTTTGGTATCTTAAGAATCACTAATTTCAGAGATCTCCCCTCATCTAGAGGTAAGAACAGTGATGGAAGTAAGGAAACTTATCAGAAAATAGGCTTGTGTAGTACAAGTGCTGTCCTGTATACATAAGGCTGAAAATGTTCACATTTCAGATCTATATAAAAGAACTCTCTACTACCCTCAGCTCACAATCAGCCCAGATTTTTGCTGTTTCTTAAGGACAATCTAAATCCATACAAACATTTACTCCACCAGTGAACATGCAACACACATAATTTATTTCATCAACAACTTATTTATATAAACAGCAAACCATTTGTAAGCCTATTTTAAACAGAAAAAAAATGCTGGTATTTTGGTTTCAAGACAAAAATCTCTACTCTAGCTCCTTGTACCTCATTTTCAACAGAAATTTCCCTCTGTGTACATAGTGCAGCCACAGAGCAACCAAATTTAGGTAAACATACTACTACTCTGTAAAGGAATGTGTTCTACACAAATTATGTTTCCAAGATAAAGACTGATACCTCACAGAAATAACACTCTTCAGCATCTTACCTGCCTTGTCATTTGCCAAACACAGTCAATGAACTGCAGGAAGATGGGAGATCTGTCGGCATCCGCGTGATCATCATCTCCATGTCCCACTCGCTGGAAGTCAGAGCACACTGATTTCAGCCTGGTGTGTCTGCAGTGCCATCCCAACACTGCAAAGCTCAGGAACTCTTAAATATGTTCCAGGAGTGAACGAGACAAGCAAGTCTTCCATAACGTTAACCTGCATTTTTCAACTACTAAAAATGCATCCCAGTACTAACTTACGGACATGCCTTCAGCACTGAGCAGAGCTGGAAAGCTCTACCAGTTGCTTCCCCATCTTCTACTGCACAGCCACTGATTTCTACCAGTGGGTGAAACTGGTAGGAATTTATTAAGACTGAACTGAAAAAATGGTTATTCCATATCCACCTGTCATAACTACATGCCATTTCTACTAAATAATCGTAAGAGTCAGAGCCCACAGAATGTCATAACAATTTATTCTAATTCCCCACTAGCCCATGTGTTAAATAAACACTTCAACCTTAAATCAGAGTAATAACTCCAGCCATTTTACACTTTAGAAACCTTAATTGTTTTCCTTGGTTCTCCATAACATAAGTTACAATCCCTCATTCTCATAAAAAAGCCACATGACTTTTCCTCACCATTGCATTCAAACCACTTCATTTTTATTTACTTTATATTATACACATAGAGGTTTCTTGTTAAAAATGAACAGGTCACAGTTCTCTGACACAGACCATTAAAAAGGCACCAGAGACAATAACTAAAATGAAGCAGAGTACTCTGACAAAACTGCTAGTCAAAGTAAAAGCCCTGAAGGTGACAAACTGTATGTTAAATTTTCCAGCTTACCATCGCAAATCGATGTCCAAAACTTATCCATTCTTTCTCTACAAGAACTTCAAAGCCCTTGATGGTTCTGTAATAGCTGTCCAGCATGAGCATGGCCAGTGCAGTGAGCTGTGCAGTTCGGTCCCAGCCATCGCTGCAGTGCACCACTACAGAGGTTTTACCAGATTCAATTTTATCCGCAATTCTTACTGCTCCAGCAAGAAGCATCTTAAACAAAAATGAACAAACAAGCATATTAAATACTACAAAACTCTACCCAAAAAAAATTTTACTCTTTTAAGTACTTATGTTTTAAAATTTCAGATTAATTACATAATCATCCTGATGACAATGCTTTAAATCAGAGATTTCCAAACAGTGGTGTGCATGTTCTAGAGGTACAAAGACTCTGGGCACTCTCTTGTCCAGACAGAGATCTTACCAGCTCTCCATTACTAGCAGCACATAACAAATGAACCTGGGAATCCCTTCTCTAAATTAATTGATATTCTGTGTTAGGATGAAAAGACACAAATACTGTTATCTATTCCAAAGGCTGAAGTTTCGAGGTTTTCAAAAGTTCATTTCACATTAATCAATCACTCCTTCTTGCTCCATTTTCAAGTTCAACTGAAACTGAGTTTAGAGAAAAGGACAAAGCATCCAGCTAGTCTGTACCAAAACACAACCCAAACAAACCCAGAAACCCCTGGCTGAGAGCCAGTTCTGATTTGTTGCTGCATGAAGAATACATGACATTCAGCTTCTGAGCTGACCATCACCAGCCTGGATTCAGTATTATGTAGAACTGAAGGATGCCAGAGGAGAAATATCAAGCAACAATACAGAAGTGTCTATGAGAGAACAGAAGTTGTGGTATGAACTAGTTAACTGCCAATTATTTCAGTTAGAAAGCTCTATTGCATTAACACAGTTTGGTCTTCAATAAAAGCAGAAAGCAAATCTATTTAACATACAGGTATGCAATAGCTTGCTTTAAAGAGAACACAGATGCTTCTGAAGGAAAACAGCTGGAAATAAACAGCAGAACAGGTACAGGAAATGAGCAGGGAATGGGAGACAGAAAACACATTTACTATTAATTCTGCAGATATCTGTGGAGTATATGAAGCACTTTATTCCACTTCAGACAACAGCCTTTAGAAAACAGCTTCCTCTACAAATTTATTATTCTTTACAGATTTTTCAAAACTTGGTAACCATCACAGTATTTCAGTTAGGGTTCCTAACGAATAACTGGCTTTGGACTGGTTTACAAAATGAGAATTGAAAACTAGTTAATAACACAAGTTCTACCCTCAGACAGAAAATACTCCAGGTATGCAAGAAGCACCAAGTGCCTCTACTCATGTTGTTATTACTGTCTGCACACACTGAGAGTTACTGGTGCCTTCACTCCTACACCATCTCTGGAGCATGGTGGGTGCCAGGGGTTGGAAGGTGAGTTTCCAGTAATGCACTGCACTCACCTGGGACACATCCACACTGGTTTGAGCCCAGAAAACAGCAGATGTGTTTAGAGTAAAGCTGTGGATTATTAGTGCTATTGCAAGCCAAATCAAAAGGCAAAGAACTCTTGGAAGAAATCTCAGAGAGATACTGTCAACACTGTTAACACAATAATGGCAGCCTTTAAGAAATCAGCCTGCAGTTTCTGCTGTCAGTACCCTTAAAGTGAAGTAGCATGTAAGGGACAGATCCATGAAGAATGTCACACATGCATCAACTCTTCAAAATAATTTAAATGACATTTCCAATTGCTATGCTATTGTCACCTGTCTGACAGAGGCATCAAAGTTCACTCCTGACACTGCCTGATCCAAGAACCCCACCAGAGTCAGTGCAATGAAAGGTGACCACAAACACAAAACAGATGACTGTAAAAGGCCAGGCTGATAACAAAAGCTTTCCAGATGCTTAGATTCTCAAAACTGTTTCAAATAGTTAAAATTCAAGCAAACAAGAAAATTAAACTTCACAAAATATCATTAAATCTGGCTCTTAACTTCGTGTTTGCTCCCTCTACTGGCTCTGCTGCGGTTGTCAGCAAGCACTGCTTAACAGAGTCAAACTAATGAATGATCCCAAACATGTTTTGCATGAGTGACATTTGAGCCAGCTTCTAATCCAACAAATTACACTCCATCTATATTACTCATAAACTGAGGACTGAATGTGGTAATGAAATAATCTACTCTACAGTAATTTCAAAGGTTAGTGAAACTGACTGTAAAACTGACAGTGGTAGTGATTTATTTTAATATTATGTTAAATAATAGGGCAGATGATAACCTGATAGATCACTGGTTACAAACAGCTCATGAAAATGTAGTGCCCATCACAAGAACTGTAACATTGCACTGAAGGAGGGAAGGATGAGAAAGACTGTGGAATTCACAGTCAAGTTCTTTTGGCAGTGGCTCAAATATACTCTGAAGTTCCCAGTGCATTCTTCCAAACAAGAGGGATAACCCTGGACTGCCCACAAACATTCCTTCTCAAGAAAATAAAACACAGCAGTAAACGTGATACTGTATTACTGGGAATTAACTCACTATCTCCCAGTACATAAAACTAGAAATACTACGTTATTATGGAATGCTTAAAATGCTGCGTTCTAAGAGATTATTTAAAAATTACACTTTTTCACAAGAGTATTCTGATTAAAGCAACATGCTTGAGTTCCAGCATTATTTTAGCAATATTTTCAGAAGTGCACGTTAAAAACATGATTTAAAAAAGCAATTGATTTTCCACATCAGAAGCATTTTACCCTTATGTATTCCAGCCAGTGTGTGGAGTCCACGTTTGACAGCCACCGAGTCTCATCAATCGTAGGATAAACAATTTCTTTAAGTTTCCGCAGGGATTCTCTCATGACATGTATATTATGAATCTCCAGAAAGACCAGCTCTGCATTTGGGTAGGCACTTTCACTTTCATATCCTCCACCTTTAGCCTGTCATTCAAATGGTAAAAACAGACAATGAGAAGAACAAGTAAAGGACTTCAGTATAGGGTGGAGAGTTATTTTACTCAAGTTTCAGCATCTTCTGAGAGAAGGCATTATTTTAGTGATGATAAAAACATATGCTTCTGTTTTTCTAAAAAAAAAAGTGGAGGTTTTTTTAGGTGAAAGAAATTCTAAAATTGTAACAGGCTACATTTGATAACACAGCCATATACTTTCACCATTTTATTAATGAAAGCTTTGGTCTTCTGTGAGATTTACTGCATAATTTCTCAGCTATATCTTCATGCTGCCTTTGATTCCTGTCAGCCTTTCTAAAATGGTACAAGCAACTTACCTTCCTTCCCCTGCCCCCTTTAGGCACCCTTTCTTATCTTTTTTCAACATTCTGATATCTGGCTCTGATATCTTCAGCCTTGTAATAAGGCTGATGAACAAATGCCAGTTGTGATACAAACCTACCTTGTTTGTATCTGCAACACTATTCTGCCTGGCATCAAAGATGATAAGTTTATGTGACTGAGCATTGGCATCCATAATTGTCTGCAAATATTTCTCATCTTCCTTGCAACGTTTATCATTTGGCCCAACTGATGGCTGGCTGCATCGTGTTATCGTCGCTTGACTCTCAGGATGAATCCAGGATAACACCTGGAACAAGAGAAAACTATTTCATTTACTACACTCCTATAAAAGCAGGCCAGAGAACAACCAGACAATCACATTGCCTATCTGGCATTATTTCCTGGCAAATCAACAAATGCAAGTTTAAGGACAGGCTGATGCAAAAACATATTGACAGCACACTAGCACTGACTGCTCATCCCAAATGTGAGCCTGAAATACAGAGTGATTGTAAACATCTTAGCTTTTATTTCTAAAAGCAACTAAACCTGTATTACTCTAATTGGAAAAAAAAACCCCATAAATGGGCAATGAAGGAATAAAAACTGCTTCCATGTGGAAGACTATGGACCTATACACTACCTTTGCTAAGCATGAAAACCAACACAATCTAACATATTTAAAGGGGTTCTAATGCTACCTTGTCTATTCTCAAGCAAAGCACTATGGCTATGACACATTCTACTCCAAATCAGAACACAAGCTAATACATGCCAGAGCATCAGATACTATTGTGGCCTAGAAATGCTAATCCAAACAAAAAACTCACTACATAGCACAATAATTGTACAATTAAACTCACACTTGAGTTGCTCCCTTCAGTTCTAAACCCTTTGAGTCTAAAACTTCTTTCTTTTCCCCCCACCCCAACTCAAGAAGGAAGCCATCTCACTGTTGTTTAAAAAACAAAGCCTAAAAGAACACTAATAATTTATTTAAAGCTACAAATTTCTAAAACACTTCCATTCTCTTGTACAAATTTCACTTACAGGAACTCTCCCTTTTGCTCTAAATGCTGCCACTTTTGAGAGGTCATCGTCCTTTACACTGGTTGGCACTACAAGAACAGCAGGGTATGTATCACAGAGCTCATAGGTGCTGTTAATTTTGGATATTTTCCAACTCTCATTGGGCAAGCCCTGTATGGAAACAAAACAATTTTGCATTTTTCAGATTAGACCTTTACATATCTCAGTTTGGGGCAATGGAAAATTTTATGTGCTGCATACTTAAAAAAAAAAAAAAGGCAGACTTTAAGTCTTCATACTGAATCATAAACCAAGGGAAGTCTTTCCTACTAAACTGATAAAGAAAATAACCATATGGAAAATGCAGATTTTTAAAATTATAGACTGTGGTTACTCTTCTGTTTAGTGATGCTTATTCAAATTCAATTTTTATAATGCCTGTGTTTTGTAGAAACAGCACTTGAGAAATGTGGATTTCAGAACCATGCCAAGTTAGACCAATTCACTCAAGTACTCAGCACCTGTATCTCCAACAACTTTAGCAGGTGCTCAACACACTCAAACTCAGGCCAATTGCATTTTATTATCTAAACATGAGATGCAGACTGTCAGTCTATGTAGCAAGAGTTACACAGACTGAAAATGCTGAGTTTTCTGTAACATTTTTTCTTTGTTTAAATGGCTCTGGGGGAGATGGAGAACAAAAAATACACCACGTAGTCTATAACTTACCTGCCTCTTATATTCTGCCATTGGATCATACACTTTCCAGCCATTAACAGCAAACTTTTCTTTATAGCTGAATGCAAAAAGAGGCTAAAAACAACAAAACAAAATCTTAAATTACAGCCTGACAGGTTGTAAGCACAATAACTCCAAAACAGTCAACACTCCAGTACTTCCAATCTAAAGCAGACATAACACCTTCAGTCAAGACTGGAAAACACTGAGCTAGAAAGTTTGTTCCATTAAATATGAGCTCCCTTCAGTATGAGTTTCAAGTTAAAAAAAACAAGATAAGAAACAGAAAACTGAAGTTATTTGCCTCTGATCACACAACACATCAATGGCAATACCAAGATGAGAAAATTGGTTTCCTACCTCCCAACCAGCTCCTTACCCACACAAGCAAATGAAATAGAATTCTGCAGCTAACTAACAAGACTAATTGTACTTATTTGTTGTATTAGATGGAACTTCTAGATTGAATTATCTCCTGCAGAAAATAACATTCAATACATACATATTTTTAATCAGCAACATTAGGCAAACCTAGATCTCAAGTGTTATGCATAAATTAACTTCATCAATAGCACGACACAGCAGTGTTTGATGAATTAATGCAAAAAGCACACAGGGTCAGAGTGGCCTGCCTGCTCTGCAACAGATTTTATGAATCAACACTTCAAAGTTTGTTATACAGCCCTTGTATTTCCTCCCCTACACTATCCCAAAAGAGGAGAGCCAGTGACAGCCTCTCTCCATCTCAAGACTTACCAGCCCATTAGAAACAGGAAATGCACGTGTTACAAGGTTTTCAAAGATCTCCAGTCTGTTCTGCTCTTCCTGCTTATAGGCCAGCCGCAAATTTCTCATATCCTGTCAAAAATAAGTTACAGTCTCACCATATGATAAATTTTAAAAAAAAGAAAAAACAGTTGTAAGACATTTGATTGAATGAAGGCATATACAGAACACTGAGTCACTGACACCATCTAACCCCCAAAAGAACAGAGTTGTGTTAGAATTCATGAGATAACTAGAACTGTCATTAGAGATGCTTGACAGAAAAATTGCCACTTTTCCTTTGAATTCACTCTTCAGACAAAAGGCAGAAGTGTTTTAGACTGCAAGTATCATAGAGGAATTGAAATAAATGAAGAACAATTCAAACACAGGGAACTGATCAGAAAGAAAAACAGCACATGGGCTGGCAGATTCTTCTTACAGAAAAATGAAATTAAAATAGTTTACTATTAATAAATCTCTACCATGCCTTACCTTGCAAACTATTTCTATACCACATGAATTGTCTCCATGGCTCTGTACTCCAATTTTTTCAACCCTACTTATAACTCCAAGGGGAACATCAACAACAAAAGGTGGATCCTGAAATTTGTATATAAAACAAACAGATTTTATTACATTAGAAGAAATACAAATTACTGTTATTCATGTGTAATTCCAGTTTAGTAAACTGCTGTGAAACATCTCACTTTACTGAATTTGCCACTTTCTGAAATCTACTCCAACAACATTCCTGCCTGAAACAACAGGCAGACAGACAGTGAAGCCTTACCCTCTCCACACTTTTGATAAACATTCTGAAGTCCGTCACTGTGAGCGTGCCACTGACTGCTCCCATAAATGGACAGATATACATAACATCCTTAGCTGGAAAACAGATCAATTAAAGCTTTGTTTTACTATTACAGACACTTGTTGCATAACAATTTATTTCCACTTGAAACTCACACGATTTTGGCAGCTCTGTAAGATTTTGATGCTTGACCTCTTTAGGAAAGTCTATTCTTGCAGAGCTGTCTTTATCTCATCAATGAAAGCAATCAAATTCCTGCACTGCTGCTCAGCAGCTCCTGAGCACTTGGAGCAGGGCTGCAGCAAGGGCAGGCAGGTCCCCAGCATCTGCAGGTACCCCCAGGTGCACAGCACCCACACTCACCCCAAAGACAGACCATCCAAAGTGGCAACTATTGACCCACATCTCCAAGTAATTCAGTTCTATGCCCATATCTTTGTTTTCACTTTTTTTCTCTGGTATTCTTTCTAAGCCAAGTACTGCACTGCCAGCACAGAGCTTGCTGTCACATGCTGAAGTGAAATAAATCCCACTAAGAACTGGAAACTAAGTTTACCATAACATCATCTTTTTTGCTGTAAGAATTCTGAATCTATGACATATCCTTAGTACCCTCAAGCAGAAATACAATACATACACCTCTATGGAGCAAAAAATCCTTAGGAAAAGAAATATTATCTATATGGAGCAAGTCATCCTCTGGATCTAATTTCTCCTTCCTACACTTGGATTTATAAGACAAAGAAAAGAAATCCACATCTGATGTTAAGTGGCATTATATTAAATAACAAAAGTCAAAAGGAAGTAATATTGTGTTTTTAAATAAACCAGAATTTAACAGTACTCAGTGCAGCACTCAGTAACACTTACCAATAACTTTGATTGATTCTCCAGGAAAAAGTGGAGCCTCTTCCATCTGTGCCAGTTTGTTTCCATCCCGCAGTGCCTGGCAAAAATCCAGAATCATGAGTAAATCTCCCTCTCCATCTGTACCACATCGATATATTTTGATGCAAAGTGCTTTTACTACCAGATTACTGGAACACAAGAAGTGTGTCTTTTTAAAAATCACACAACTGTACTAAACAGTACCACAGTAAAAGAAAAAAAACAAAAAAACCAACCAAGCACAAAACTAAGTACTATAAATTTAACACAGACATACATGTTAGTAGCATACTAGTAACGAAACATTCATGCAACAATTAGTTTCACATGCTAGCTATATAGCATACAAAAATATAAACAATAAGATCAGCCCAAATTAGTAATTAATAATTTGTTAGTGTTTTGCTGAATGCAGGTATTATTTGGGGTATTTTATCTATTTGAGAACATTTTAAAGCTCTTTTTGTTTTTTTTTTTTTTAAATTCTAATGCTGCTTATTTAATATTTGAGTATTTTCATCTGAGAGAATTATATGGCAGAAACTTTATTTATTAACATTTAAACTTTGTGATTGTGGCAGCAAGAAGCACCCCACAATGCTCTATTTCCATCAATACCTTACTAAGAGTGCCACAGGTTATGGAATAAGTTCACTATAGGAATTATGGATCCAGATGGTCAGATTAAGAATGAAGTAATAACAAAATACAGAAGAACAATTAGCAATCTTAAAAATAAGAGTTAGTTTACTAAATTTTCATTGAGGTAAATGGCTTCATTGCTGAATGATACACGATGGACTCTTTGGGTCCTTTGTTGGCAGCTAAGATTTACAGTGTACTAAAGATTGTAATAAAGCATAAAACAGTTTGTGGGACTGTTAAGAACCATGTAATAAAATGATCTCGGGTCAAAATGATGAGATCTCGGGGTCTCAATTTTTTACATCCTGAATAAATATAATGGGGTAACTTGTTACAATAAACAACTAATCCTCCCCTTGTACTGCAGCTCTGACCTACACAGAAGTAATTGGCAGGATCTCTCTGCTTCCACACAGACTACCCCAAGCTCTCACTAATAAATAATTTCTAAAAATATTTCAGCTGATCTCTGGCTTCAGATTTCCTTGGAAAATTTTGGAATTTTACATTCAGCACCCAATCACAAAAAATAATGCGCAGAGAAATAGCCAGTGCTTACAAACTGAGGGTGGATGTGCTGTTAGATGGGGCTTATGTTCAGTATTACATTTTAGACTACATGACCTTACAAGAAAACTCTGGCACATAACCAGTTACAACTAAATGCTTTCTAGGGCTCCTCCTGAGTGACAAAAGTAACATTTGTAAGCGCTGTATGAGTACTACTTTATAGTACCTTGCTACATAGTTAATGAATGAAAGATGAGTAAAACTTGCCACCTGATCAGGTTCTGCTTCAGAATGATAGCCATTGTGTCCATCCTGAATCTCCTGCTTTGCACGAGGCAGCAGTAGGGCAAAAGAGAAGTAACAGCAAAAAAATTGCAGACAACAGGTGAAAGGACAGAATCTTATCTTTTTTTTTTTTTTGTTTCCCTTTTTAAAATTTCCTTAAAAAGACAGCATATACTTTAACTCCAGTTTAGCTTTCCAAAACCTTCCACTCCTGGCATACACTATTTTCCACAGAAGAGAATCCAAGCTATTAGCACCATCCTTTGAATGATACTTGGCATAACACAAATTGAAAAATCTACTCCCTTTTTCAGAGAAGAGTTAGTGCTGGTAGATAAGAACATAAAAGTATGTACTGTCTTTTTAAGACAAATAACCTTACAATGAAGAAAATTAATTTCAGTATGCCACATGCTTATCAATAGAAGAAATCGAGTACAACTTGCAATGGCAGCATTATGGGAAAACTCATGCAATCTTTCACAGAAAAAAACAGGTTGACATCAAATAGAAGTACCTAGACACCTAAAAAAAGCTTTGCTGTGTAAAACATGTTGTAATTGAACCCTCAATATTATACATATCTTTCTAGCAACTTCTATGTTGTTGTCTGAAACTTGGCCAGTAACTTTACAGAATCTAAAATTACTACTCATAGCAAAATATGCAAACAATTCACATTTTCATGGTAATTTATTTTTGCATAATTGGCAGCAAATCCTGAACATTAGTTCAATTTCTTTAATAAACATAAGATCCTTTTGCACACCAGAGAGAAGCACAAATGTCATCGGGTCAGTTGAAGGAATTATTTTAACATGTTCAGCCAAAAATGTTCTTCCGTCTTCTTCCTTTAACGGCTGGAAAGAAGCTGTGCTCATGACAGTCTATTACTCCCAGTTCAAATGCAAAGAACTTCTCACTTGGTCAGGCTGTAAAACCAGCCTCAGTCTAAATTTAAAAGTGTTTGTTAGAAGTCTGTTTTTCTTTTTACGCTATTTCTACAAGAAAAAGCTTAGAAAAAGGACTTCAGATATCTTCACAGATAATTTGAACTCTACATAAGTTTAAAAAGTTGTGAGTAATTAAGAAACCTTTTCCAGTTATAAAGATATAATGTTACTAACATTTACATATGGGTAGAATTCTGTCATACAGTAATTACTTAAGTTTCACATCATAATTATGTTGTTTCGGAAATCAAAGAAAAGTAGACATTGTGATCTCTGGAAGAAAACCAGCAGGACAATGAGGAAATACACCCCAAAAATTTAAATATATGAAAGACAAAGAAGCAGAGCAGACCATTCAAATATCAAAGCCTTTACACAGAACTGGGAACAACTGAACAAAACCACTTTTTGTTACTCAACTCAGACCAATTATCTGAAGTGCTATCTATTCAAAAGAAAAAAAATATCAATTTGTGGATTTGTATGATTGGACTAAACACATCATTTTTAAATAGGTAAACAACAGATGAGAAAAAGAAACCATTCAGACTTCATCTCTTGGTTTCAGACTGAACAAGAGGTCTTTGTTCGAATAAAAGTGTTGGACACATTTCATGAACAATGTCAGAACACTACCCAGATCATTTCTCACTCCATAAATGTTACTAAGAGAGAGGGGCAAGAAAACAAGGCATGCCCTTTTTAATCTTCAATGAACAATGGGCAAGCCCTAGTCTCAAAATTATCATTAAAAAGATGTAGGTCATTGCACTAGTGCCTAACTTCAAACCTAACTTTCAATCCTATTACAGCCTGGTAACAATTAATTTAAAACAAGTACAAAGGCAAGCATGAATTTGGAACTTACTTAAATAGGACAGACACAGACAAAATGCTTTTACCACTGGTATTCTTTAGCACAGACATGTTAGAGCTGCTAACACAGTACTCTGCAGTCTGACGCACGTAAACCTGAATTGCAAGCATCCATTTTGTCAAAATTAATGTAATAAAACTGAAGTTAGTATTGCACACTCATAACATAATTTTAAAATATTGCTCTCTTACATACTGACTTTCATTGCTCATGAAAACATTGTAATGTATATAAAGCATTTTTGTGGCAAAGAAGCTGTTGCACTGCATAGCAAAATGGCCTCACTGGTTCATAAAACCCATTAATGAGGTAAAGAATGCTTGACACACCAAGATCTCACACAGCACAAGAGACACACAGGTAGGAGGCTGTTCACTGCTAGCCAAAGGTAATCTTACCCGTATAACTGGCCTCCTGTACACCTGTTAGTTAAAATATAAAATATTATCCAATGAAACACATGGATTTGATTTGTTAAAGATACTGTATCTTATTTCACCAGACTTTCAAAAGAACTCTACTCCCAAACATTTTAATTATAGCTGGATTTTGAAAGAACAAAACCAAACTATGCAGAACTAGTAACTCTCATTTGCAGAATTGTTTTGGTCTAAAAAAGAAAAATCTCAGACACTTCATTTTAGTGATGTAACAAATTCCAAGCTCTTTGGAAACATTCATTCCTAATCACCCTTTTATCCTGCTACACTGTGCTATTGTTAAAAGAGAAGAAAGAGCCTGGTAATCCTTCTAGGTGGAAGACAATAAGCCTGCACTAACAACCATGAAGGAGAGGCACCGGACCTTTCAGAAAAAGACAACTCTTCTCAGCTTCTAAAGGTGTTTGTAGCCAGCAACTACAATCTGAGCCATTTTCATTTATATGAGCCCCTCATTCAAGAACACTCAGCAGCCAGAGCATGTGTCAGAGAAGACACACAGAGCAGAGCTCAGCTCAGACTGAGATTGCTGCTGTAGGGTTTAGCAAGCAAGAGCTCCCCCAGTGCTCTCCAGTTCTGACCATTCCATGCTTCCCTTCTCCCTGGTAAGTCACATAGGAGTAACGAGAGTAACACTGTATTTACCTGGTTTTGCAAACATATGAATTTAAACACTAAAAAGAAAGAAGAAAGCAATGAGTTCCTGGTAAATCCAGCACAAACTAACAGAACTGCCTGACCAGCAAACACACACATCTAACCTGATCTGAAGGTTCTGAGTTGTAAGACAGTCTCTAAATGCAGCAATTCGAGGTAGCCAAAGGTAACGAAGACCCAGGAAAGTGCATCAAAAGAGAAAGATGTCTCAAAGGAAAACTGAGCTACAATATGGGCATTGTCTTTCCATGTGTGGATTCCACAGTAATAATGAACAAACACAAGCTGTTAGTGGTACTGAGTGAGAAACTATAAAAAATTCCATAATGCTATTTACAAATATGGGATTTCAAACCACAGCAATGCAATGATGCTGAATACAATTTATCCACCAAAATTCTTAATTTAAACCATCAGGCTTAATCCTTTTCTTTCATTTCTCAGAGACAGAGAATGAAGTGGAATTATAATTAGGCCTTAAAAGATTTATTCCTGTTAAATAATATCTGAGATGAGTTTGGTATAGAGATGGAAGTTATTCAAAATTAAACAGTGCTCTCCATTCCAGAGAAATGAACTCTACTCAGAGATAAACTGAACACCAAGTTTACACACATGGATTTTACTAAAATGAAATCCTTGGCAAGTACAACATCAACAGATGCAATGCAAGTGCATCCCACAGTGTTTTACAAAAATGATGGCCTTGACCTGGAGCAAGCATTTGCAATTCAGCTGCTGCAGTATGGGAGAGCTACTCTTTACAAACTGCTGACTGTGCCAACTGTGTGAAACTCTGTTGAGGTTGAACTTTTAAATACACTACAGTCAAAAACATTTTGTGGACTCATCTCAGGCTGAATCTGACCTGCTGTCACTCAATCTAAAATGCACCATTTCCAGACAACATACTTTGTAATCACAGGGCATACGTGAATTAAAGTCTAGCTACAACAAAACAAGAAAAAGACATAAAAACTTTCCAGTGGCCATTCTCTATGAAAACAATAAAACTATTACAAATCTAGGAAGGAAAAGGGATCTAGACAGCAGCAAGTTGGGCTTCTTAAAGGGAATTGAGACATGAGCAACTTTTGTCACGTTGTGAGAGGACAAAAACTGCCCATGCTCCACTCTCGACAGCTGAGTTGAGTGGCTGCTTGAAGGGAACAGCCAGTGAGCGTGAAAGAACAGGGGCACAAAAGCACAGTGGAACTCAGAGAAACCATACTTGCAGCCATTACCTTAGTGACAAAAATGTTGCTGGGAGGGAATGAAAAAGGTGACTTGTTTGTTTGTTTGATGTTAAATTCTGTGTCTCTGGAGAAATCCCATTAAAAATGATACTCAATTATGTTCCCTACATAGTAACAAAGACATTAATTTATTTTTTGTGGAATCTGAGGAGATCAATTCTGTACTCTGAATAACACACACCAGAAACCATTTAAATCTATAACTATAATCTACTTTACTAATTATTTCATATAGTAATCAAAAGAAAAGACAACTCACTTTTGATGTTTTATTCAAAACATTGACTTTTAAAATTTCCTTTCACTTCTCTGTTAATTTTTATTCTGTAGACTTCAATGGCACTATTCTAAATATGGAGCAAAACAGGAAGCAAATTCAAGAGACTCCTATGGATAATGAGATGTTTCTAGTTCTGAAACACTCAGTGATCACTCAAGTACTTACCACTGGCTAATCAAGATAGCAAGGACCTTCAACTTCCACTCTTGTATCTTAAAACAAATCAATGCATTCCTCAAGTCACTTACCCTGTAGTCTCTGGACACGCCCTCTGATGGGACGGACCCTGAAATCTGACTCGAAATGGTTGCAGCTATCAGCTGTTTACACCATTCCACATGGGATCCAGTCGGGCTACAAAACCAGAAATTTCAAATTGTTTAGCAGTAATTCAAAATGAGTATTTTGAATAGCACAGATCCAGAAAGCAACACTGTAAACAATCACTAACATCCTAAAACTTAGCTTGCTTTGTGAGCAGAATGCAACTATTTTATTGACCAAATGATGTAAAATAATTTTCCTGGATCATGTCAGAGACACAGAACTGTCAGAAAGTTGAAAGTGAGGTTAGGGTCCTAGGAACTTAAAAAATGTTCTGCTCCTTATCCAGTGTAATTTTTACCATTCACATGCTTTTTTCTTAAAGCCATCCATGGAATGAGTTTGGCCAAGTAATAGGAAACTCCTTATACTGTCCTTATTAATATGTCCTGATTATTCTGTAAATCCTCAGAATGAAATTACTTCATGCTAGTATTAAAAAATTTAAATGATGCTAATGTTGTATTCTATATTAAATGCTGAAAATACATATTGTCTAAAGGGTAACTTCTAGTTAGCCGCAGCTTTTTCCAATTAATGAAATAAACCCTGGATAATCTTCAGGCTGGGCTTTCCCGTGACACA